CGCCGGGGCTGCGCGGCCGCCCTTCTCTTCGGCGCCGCCGGCGGCGCCGCGCCCGCCGCCCGAGGCCGTCCCGCCGGCGTCGCTCGGCGAGGCCGCGCGCTCCCTTTGCTCCCCGCGCCGCGGCGCGACGTGGCACGCTTGGCCCGGCCGACGCTGCGCCCCCCAGAACTTTGCGCCTCAGTCATTTTACACTTTTTCGAAGCTTCGCAGCTGCCTCCTCTTGTCCGAAGCCCTGCTCGCATAAGGGGCCGGGACCATTGCCTTTCCTATGCCACCCCTCTCAAGAGCCCTTCAGCAATTGCGTTTTGTGCCCCCCCCTGCCGTCGGCGCGCCTCTCTATGTGCCTTTCGCCCGCGCCCACGCCCGCGCCGCCTGTCGCAGTCGCGCGGCCCCCCGCCCGCCGCTGCCCCCTCCCCGCCGGTGGCCCGGCCGTCTAACCCTTCGCCCCGCCAAACTGAGCCGCCCCGCCCACGGCAGCATGCGGTTTTCTGAGAGCGGGCTGGGCGGGCGCGGGCGCTTGTAGAATAGAGCCGCGTCGCCGGCGCCGCGCCTGCCGGCTGTTGTGTGTTGGATACCTATTTCGGGCTCGGTTGTCCCACGTTTGGACCGCTTCACTGTTTTTGGAGGTTGTTTGTTCAATTGGCCCCGCCGCTTCCCAGGCGCGGCGGGAGGTTGTCAGGGGCTCCCGAGCCAAAAGCCAAACAACCCCGCCCGAACGACCCGACGGCGCCCGGCCGCGCAGCAATGCGGTGCCTGCCCCCCTCCCCCCAAAACTCCGACCGCTGATGTGTTTCGAGGGGCGTGCACGAGCGGAGTCTTCGAGCTCGAGCCCCCAGATCGACGGCCCCGGCCCTTGCCGCCCCTCAGGCCTCCCCCCCACGGCGGGACCCCTGCGCCGCCTGGGCTGCCTGCTTTCTGTGGCCAATGCCCCACCCATCTTATAATGCTGCACTGGTCGACCCCCCCCCAGCGCGACCCTGCGCGCACCCGTCTGCCCTGGTCACTGCCTCACGCCACATCATCACTTGTGTAACTTGTCCGGTTACAAAGGCGTCAGTTGGTGGCTTGCTCAAGGCATGCACCAGTACCACTGCAACCAAAACATCTGAAAGCCAGGCGCCCTTTGCGCGGGCCTCGGTCAGTGATTATGGGATGAAGGGGTCTGCAGGCGGCCCACAGCTGCTGGCTGGGGTGGGGCCTCTTGGTTGGCCCCAGTGGCGCCTGCGGGAGCCGCCTGGTTTGGCCCACCATGGGGCATGTGGGACCAATCCACCCCCGAAAATTCAGGTTTGTGGTGTCTACGGAACCGGTTGGATGCATGCTGCTGAACAGGCCGGGGCAGCGGCAGCCGCCAGCGGGCGCAAACGGCGGTGCGGCTTGTTGACAGCGGCAGCATCAAAACCGCCCCCCGACCGCCGGCCGCGGCGGTGCTCCCCGCCCCGCACGGCCGCGGGCCCGGCCGCGACGCGCCGACGCCCGCACCCGCGGGCCCTCATCCGCGCCGGCTCGGCCGCCGAGCCTATCACGTGTCCGTCTTCGCGCGCTGCACCCCCAAGAGCGCCTTGAGATATTCATAAGCCACCATCCTGATCGCGTTCTGGGGCACCACCTTCAGCGTATTAGCGGCCCAGCCCCTATAGAAGCCGCGCGCGCCCTCGGCCCGCCAGATCGTCGACAGCGCGTGCAGCTGCCCGTCATATGCGTGGCCGCGCATCTGCATGCGGCGGCGCACCGTGTCGAGGGGGTAACACGCGGTCGCGGCGAGCGTGCCGCTGGCGGCGCCGACGAGCAGGTTGGCGGCGGCGCGCTGGGGCCTGCGTACAGGGGGGTTTGGCGGGGGCGCGGGGAGGTCAGTGGAAGGGGAGGCGCATTGAAGGGCAGGAGCAGCGAAGTGTCTGCCTTGGTGCAGGACGGGAGCAGGGAGCGGTCGCAAAGCAGCGGGGGCCGATGGGCTCCGGCTCGAGGTCTGGGGTTGGAAGGCCGAGGGGCCCCGCGCTGGTCGCGTCCACAGGCGGGGACCAGGGGCGTGCCGCCCCCCCAGCCCCAAGCAGCAGCGCCCCGACGGCAGCCCCCCTCGCCGTGAGAGCCTCAAACCCCCAGGGCTGAGTGCTTGCAGGCCAGCAACCACTTTATTCCGGTCACTTTTGGCACTGGAAGCGACCCCTTGGACCCTCCATTCCAAGGCCGGCCACCGTCCCCTCCTACATCCCCACCATCCCGGGTCAGATCCCAATCCCTAAGCCCCAAACCGTCCCTCCCCTTACAAAGCCCCCTCACTTCTCGCCGCCGTACAGCCGCTTCTTAATGAGGTCATAGGACGCAAAATTGATGGCCGCGTAGGGCGCGATGCCCACCAGGGTGGGCGCCAGGCCGCGGTACAGCGACAGCGGCCCCTCGGCGCGCACCATGCGGCGCGCGGCGTCGACGGCGCCTGGCAATCAGAGTGGGGGGGCGGGCATTGCTGCCATTGGCTTCTCCTCAGAGGGGGCCCGCGATTTGAAAACCGAGGAGGAAAAAGCCAGCAGGGGACGCCGCGTGTGTGTGCCCACGCGCCCATACTTGAGAGTCGTGCCAGCTACGCGAAGCCCGGCTGGACACGCGGCGTCCCGCAGGCCCCCGCGGCGCGGCTGGCGGGCGGCGCGGCGGGCGCGCCAAGGGGAGAGCGCGCGACCCACCGCGGTACGCGTGGCCGGGCAGCGCCAGGCGCAGCCTTACGACGTCCAGAGGGTGTGTCAGCGCCGTCGCCGCCATGCCCGCCGCCGCGCCGCTGGCCAGGCGGCGGGGCACGTCGAGCTCCCCTCCGCCGCCGGCCAGCAGGCGCTTGAACTGGTCGTTCGCCGCCAGCTGGGCTGCAAGGGGTTGTGGTCGGGTTGGGGTGCCGGGGTTCTGCTTGCGCCGCGCGCGCCCCAAGCTGCGGGCGCAGGTATGGTGTCTGCAAGCGACACAACACAGAAGTCGCCAAGTTCCCGTATGGACAGATCAATCTCATAATCAGTAATTGGTCTAGTTGTTGGTTATCACCTGCCGAGTAGGGGAAGATGCGGACCACGTTGACCCCGTTGCCCTTCCAGAAGGCGAGAGGGCCCTCCTCCCTGTATATCTTGGCGGCCGCCTGCAGCACACCAGTGTACGAGGAGGGGCTGGCGCCAGAACTGGGGACGGCCTGCGGGTGGGCGCGGCCAGGGTGCGTTTAGGCAAGGCGGGGGCGGGGAGATGGTTGTGAGGGGGAGAGGCGGG